ACCTAGGCCTAGTGGTCATTGCCCTAGTACATCTTTGGTTTTAAAGAATATACTGGTAGCTCCTCAACCATCTGATTGCAATGATGATTGGGAAGCATTCTTTTAGACTAACACTATTAGAAAATATAAAAGGGAAAGCTTTTTATACTCCCCCTACAACATAGAAGTTCTATCATCTCCCTACCATCCATCCATCCATTTTTTATCAAGAGAGCCACGTATCGTTTGATCTTAGATCTGATATCTTAAAGTATTTTATTTTTAGCTTTTTTAATACAACTATTCTGAATATGAAATTTGGTATGTACCATCTTCTCATTGGGGTGCACCTATAAAAAATAATAACAATAATTTTTTGATAAAAATAATGACCAAAATACCCCTTGAATCTTTCAAGGGTATTTTGGCCATTTAATTTTATTGAAAATATTTTTTTATATTTTTTGTTAGTGCGAGTTTAATAGAGGAATGAACGTCCAAAATTTGGTATCAAAATAGTTTATAGAAAAAATTAAAAATAAAATAATGTAGAGACGTGACATTGTGATTGGGACAATCGTAGCCCTCCAATAAAAATAGACGGTTAAACAAGGGGGAGGATAGAACTTCAATGTTGTCGGAAGAACATAAAAATCTTTTTCGATATAAAATAATCGGTTTTTGAATAGTGACTTTTAGTTTCGGATTTGGATTTTCAAAATTCTAGTTCCATTTTAGAGGACGCTGAAATCTAATATCATGAAAAGCATACTGATAAGTCCATCCGATCCCTTAGATGGCCAACTTGAGGTTGGCCAATCTGATGAAAAACGAGGTTAGATTAAAACGTGGCCAAAACAATATTTAAGTGATTTGATAGCCCCGTTTTGATTGGTTGGATCAACAATACATGATAGGTCAACTTTTCTTTGTAATATATTTTATATTTTTAAATTATTGTTCGTATTTTTTCTTTATTTCTTAAAAATGCAGTCCAATAGCTTCAACCCGCGATCATATTGGTTTTGACTGGACCAAGCCCTGGGCTGTTAAGTAACCAGTCCGGTTACAATAACACTAATTAAAATTCGAATTTAAAATTTCAAGCTCTAATGTCTTGCTAGCTCCATGCTTCAAAATTAGAGAGTCTAAATGTTGCCAAAATCCCTCAAAATTCAAAACCATGCCCTAAACCAACATTGGATGCCCACAGATAGCACCAACATGAAACAATCGGCATTAAGAACAATCTTTATGGTTTGCTAGGTTGGCCAATGTATTTCAATTTCAATAAGCCCTAAGGAGATGGTCCAAGCCCAATAGGATTTCTTTTTTCCTCATTTTATTTATACTAATAGCAAGTGGGAATCAATAACTTCCCCTAAACAATTAAGGGGTTTTTCTTATTCCCCATATACATCCTTAAAATATTGTTTTCAATGGAACCAATAATAGTGGAATCTTTAGATGGGTGGAAACTTCAAGGAAGTAAAGGACAAGCAAGGCAAGGTTCATATGGGACTTCACTAAGCCTTGACTAATCCAAACAGATCTTGGGATCACTTATTATATCTACTTAAAAAACCCAAGTCTATTTATGTCAAACTGTTATGTAAATATAAAACCCTAGTCTCTCATTTTATAACCTTAGAAAACCCTATGCCTTTTTTGTCCCCTCCTATACAAAATTGCCATGACCCAATCCACTCATATTTAAAAGCTGTTTGGTCACTTTTAACATCCAAATCCAAGTCAGGCAACCTCTTCTTTGATTTGATTTGATTTGCTCAAGCCAACCATAGTTATATGACTGGACTGAATTTTCTCTAATCAAGGTATAAAAAATTTGCAAATTTACTAAGGGTGTGGTTTGTACAAGGCTGAGGCCCTAAACAATCAAAGTAAGATGCACTTTTGAATAGTGTCGAACAATGTCGTTTCAGTACCAAATCTTGTTGATGGCTTGAAAATTTGTTTTCATCTCTAATTATAAAATTTAAAAGCCTCTAAATAAGTGTATATCAAACAGATCTATGAACACTTTAAAATCTTAAAAATTAACGGTCTAGATAATATATTACAAGATGCACTATTTTCAAAATTTGAAGTTCTTTTTTTTTGTTACGTCTATTATCTCAAGTTTGAGATGATCAGATTTGATGGGTTTTCAACACCGAAACAATTTCTTCTAGTGAATTTTTGAGGTGCGCCTTATTTTGATGGCTTAGGGCCTCAACCTTATATAAACTTTTTCTATTTACTAAACCGTAGGTAAGTTTGGGAGTTCTTGCAAGTGAAATTCTTTAGAGTAAAACCTTATTTATTATTATTATTATTGACTTATCTCAGTGATGTAATCTTGAAATGGTATACAAATTTTAGAATGATGTGACATTAATCAAAATTTTGGAAGCAACGCGTTTTTTTGTGTATTCACACATTGACTTGTTTTTCTTTGAAGGATTTTTATGTTGTTTCGAGGAATACCTTTTGACAAGTTCGATGAGAATTTTTTTTTTTTTTTAAGGTAATTAGTTCCATTAGACTTTTATCATATATTTGCATAATTTGGCTTTTTGAAACCACAATATCATTTGTAACACACTTCAACCCATCCAATTTAACATAAATGATTGTGACCTCTTTATAACTACGGTAAATGGTCTCACAACATACAATCCTTTTATTTTATCAGGCAAAATTTATTTACATTTGTGCATCACTGTAGAAAATTGTTACTGTGGTAGAAGAGACTCCTAACACATCAGTACAGCAGAAACCCTCCCTGGCCAGACTATATGATATGAAGTAATTTGATAAATTTTTCTAAAGAAAGTATTATGCAATAAAAAAACAAAAAATCTAAATGCCCTTATTATTATTATTTTATTTTTATTTTATTTTTTTATTTTTTTTTTTCGAGACGTAAGTCAGTAGAGGAGAAGGCCCCCTACCAAATAATAAATATTTATTTCGAAGAGACAAAACTAAATTAATAGTGCTCATTGCTTCATAGAACATGGCATCAACCAAAGACAAGGGAATGTTCAACTTTCATGCATGTGCATGCATCATTAAGAGAAACCCAACAAAGGAATCCGACATTATGGGTGTGCATATAAAAAAAATATCTACTATTAAACAAAAGACACTAAGGAGCCCCAATAAAATAACCACAGATAAGGGGATATCTTCCCTGTTGAATTACCGAAAAAAAAAAAAGTCTTCCCCATTGAATTACCCAAAAAAAAATAAACTCATTGCTTTTTTGGGATGGGGAATGAAATTAAAGACGTGTTTTGGTAATTTAATTATCAATGGTATTTGGGGAGTATTGGCAATGCAGGGCCTAGAGGTATAGAAGGTATTAAGAAACAAAATAGAAATGTTTTAAAACCCGGATGGTGGATTGTTCACCCATAAATTTGATATAGATTGTTGGATTTATATCAAATTGTTGGATCGGTGATCTAGATTAGATATGACTCGGTCAGAATCGATAATCTAGAAAACCATTAAAAAAATATAATACAATAGAAATTAAAATAAAAATTTATGAGATGAAGATTTAGATGATACTTAAGAAAACATTAGATAAATTTTTTTTAAAAAAATAAATAAATATATAAATATGGAGGAGAACCAAACCAGAATCCATATCATCTTGAAACCGATTTAATCTCGATTGATCCCTTTTCAAATTCAAGTGCCATATCATTTTTTGGGACCTAACCCGACCCGACCTGCTGCCACCCCAAAAGAGGTAGAGAGAGAATACTTTGTCCATGAAGGAATCGCTTACATAATCTGGGGAGAGAGAAAGAGAGAGAGAGGATACTTCGGCCATGAAAGAATGGGTTACATAATGTGGTGATGAAAGCAACGTGTTTCCGTCACTTTGAACCGGCCTCATTTCATGCACGTCTCGTGCGTGGTAAAGGCCCCACCATGTCTCCAATCAAATCCTCTTCCATCAACAAAATCACCTTTCCAGTTTTCCCACTTCAACTTCAAATCACTTTAGAGAGAGAAACACTCATATGATGCGTTCAAAGGAAGAGACTGGTGATTTTACAGATAAGGGATTCGCTCGGAATTGTGCCGTACAAATCGGGGCAAAAAACACTGTGGTCCGTTTTGGAAATCATTCATCGTATTCTGATTATATATATATATAAAAAAAAAGCCGAGTTTATAAGAAAATCAACGGTTATGCTGAGTAAGATGGTGATTTTTTATAGTAAAACGGCGATTCGGATCACTGATTCACCAATCAAGACCAATTCCAATTTTTGGGCGATTTATTGTTTTTTCACTTGTTTTTTTACTGATTCATTATTTTTTCCTTATAATAAATGAAGATCCGAAAGCGCCGATTCACCGATCTTGACTGGTTTTTAGAGTACCTAATCCGTATCACTCGTCTGTTTTTTACATCATTGGTAGAGAGTCAGTTTTTATATGCTATATAGATAGTGGTGAAATGCTTAAACTAAAAGGTACCGTTTGTATAGAGCTGAGGCTCTAAGCAATCAAAATAAAGCCCATTTTCAAATAGTATTGAGAAATATGGTTTTTATACGAAAATCTTTGTGATAGCCTTAAAATATATGTATATATTTAATTATAAAATTCAAAGCTTAAAAAATAGTGCAGATCAAACACATCTATGACAACTTGAAAATCTTGAAAATTGACAATACAAAAATACATTACAAGATGTACTAATTTCAAAACTTGAAATTTAATTTTTTCTCTCTATACATCTTGATGTCAAGATGATAAATTTGAAGACACTTGAACATCAAAACAACCTCTTATAGTGAAAATTTTGAGATACTCTCTAACTTGATTGTTTAGAGAGAAGAAGGGGCACATATCCTTATTTAATCTTGTGTTTTTGTTTCAAGAGAGAGAGAGATTAATTTGTTTTCTGACCTCTCCCAAATGAAATTTGGAGTAACACAAACGCAAATGATACCAATAATCAGACCATTAATCTTCAGATATTCTTCTAATTGTAATATTATAACCTTAATATTCTTATTTATTGCCTCATAATCCCAAGAATGACATGGACAAGAAGCTGGAGTCCATTTTGTAGTGAAAGAAAACCCAGGATTTACAAGAGAGAGAAAACCAACAAACAAAAAAACACAAAAGTGGGGGACTACACATTTATCATGAATATTTCAAACTCTGATACGTAAACCCCTGCTGAGAACCAAAAGAATGAGGAACACTTCCAACCTCCAATGGCTTCTTCTCATGGGCCAGAAGCCCATTAATGAAATCATAATCCATTAAAAGGCTTTCTTCAATTGCACCGTTAGTTGCACCGTCAAGTGCCCAATAAATGTAGTCGCTCTCCTGTGAGTAAGATGCCGTGGAAACCTCGTACTCCGTTAAATGTGACGGTGCAAATGACATGGTTTCAGTGACCAGTCTCTGAGGGTCTACATTGTAGGCGTAGTTGGGGATTTCAGTGGGTGAAATGGAGGTGGGTTTTTCTAGAGAGAGAGAGTCTGTGTAGTGAGAGAAAGTGGTGTCTTTTTTCAGAGGGATTTTAGAGTGAGAAGAAGAGGAGGAGCATGAAGATGGGGAACTGAGGGTGGTGGTTTTGGAGGTTTGAGGGGTGGTGGGTTTTGATCCAAAGAGCTTCTTCTTGAGCTTTGTGTTCCAGTAATTCTTCACATCATTGTCAGTTCTACCAGGCAATTGGGATGCAATTACAGACCACCTAGAGGGAAAGAGAGAGTTGATTACTTAATCGTATAGGATCAACCATTCATATGGAAAATGCAGTATAGAAATCCAAGAGAATAAACAATACAGACAGAGAGATAAACTAAATGAACAATGATTCACAGGAAAAAAGTAGCACAGAAACCCAAAAGAAAAAAAATGGAGAGACCCCATTAGAGAGAGAGATTCAAAAGAAAAGGAACCATAGAAATCATTAAGAAAAATAACACCAAAAGACCACTGGAGAGAAAGCAATCCATCCCAAAAAGAAATCATCTCAGAGGAACACAAATAAATAAATAAAAGCTACTAAAACTGTAGAATGAGATAGAAATTCACCAAAGAAATCCCCTTAACAAAAAAAAAGGAACACAACACCAGAATATAAAAGAAAAAGAAAGAGAAAAAAAAAAAATTATCTCCAAAGTTGAAACATTTAGGAATAGAGAAAGAAACCATAACAAATAAAACTCATTAGAAAGTTCTAAAAACCACAATTTAGGACAATCCCTGAAACAGTGAATTGTGTTAATGTATTGACATGCATTGAGAAATGGGAGAATTTCTACCTGCTACCAATGGTCTTATAAAGAGAAATGATAATGTTGTCTTCTTCTTCAGTGAAGCCGCCATGTTTGATATCAGGCCTTAAATAATTGAGCCATCTGAGCCTGCAACTTTTGCCACACCGTTTAAGCCCTGAAAAAGATTGAGTTTTCGTGAATTGGGTCTCTCAATGTATTATGAACAGAGAGAAAATGAAAATTGAAAGAGGGAAGGAAATGGAAAATTGACCCTTTAGAGAATTAGAAACCGAGATTACTAACTCATCAGAAAATTTGGGTTTCAGGAAAAATGACAAAACATTTAGAGAGACAAAGTCAAACATGGAGAAATAGAAATGACTGTTTGGAATATGGGGTTTCTGCAATAAATGGTAGAGAGAGAGAGATGCAAGAAGCTTGAGGGGCAAGAAATTGGAAGGAAAGTGGGTTTGGGCAATTGGGTTTTTTTCCCTACTTTCTAAATTTTGTTAGAAAAAAAAACAGAGAGAGAGTTAGAGAGAGAGAGAGAGAGACCTGCTTTTTGTGGTAGAGCGATCCAGTTCCCACCAGTGCCATAGCGCTGAACATAGTTCCTGAGAGCGTTGTCTTCTTCAGGGGACCAAGGCCCCCTTTTCACGTTGGCTTTGTCACAGCAAGGAGCTCTCCCCATGCTTACTAGTTTCTTTCTCCTCAAAAGCACTTTCTCTCTCTAAAAAACTAGCTCACACCCCACCTTCCTCTCTCTCTCTAGAACCGCACTGTCTCTGTTCTCTCTCTCTCTAAAATATCACACACACTGTCCCCTTCTCTCTCTAGTTTCTCTCTCTACATGGAGTTGTAATTATTAGTGCACCACCGAAATCCTGGGTAGCACCACACATACTCCTTTTAAAGACCCCCGGCAACCAAGCCTGTCGAGAAAAGTCTTGGTTTTCAGGTTGTCCAGTTCTTTGTTTTGTTTCTTAAGAGAGAGAAACTAAATGACTTTGTTTTTCACTTTAATATCGGAAATACCCTTCGTTATTATTTTTTTGTTTAAGCAGCCAACCAAATGTTTGTAGTCAAACTTGATCCATTGGGTAGTAAATTAGTTAATATTTGATATTATCTGAGCCTATGCTCGACTTAATAAATAATAACAAATATTCTTTTGAATGGTAATAAACAAATGAAATTTTTACCAATTCAAAAAGTCTTAAAAAGAAAAACAGAATTAGTACTACTCTCACTCTCTCTTTCCCATAAAATTCTCATGAAAAATTGTCTGACTCGGAGATCGCCCATTTCGAACAGGAACCGGTGCAATACCAGTCCATGTTGGACTAGCTTGGTACCTTGTGATGCCAATTAATTTTATCTAGAATAGACTGCTTTATCTTAAAGACTCTAGATAATATTATTTTAGCTATTTAGTATGATATTATAAATAATTTTATCGAATTATTAAATCTTTTTTTGGAAATTTACAATAATTTCTAGATATTTCTGGCTAAATTCATGTGATCTTTGACAAATTAATTTGAATAAAATAAAAACTACTTTACAAAGAGATAAATCTATGTGTAAAATTGTCTATATGTTTATCTCATATCAATTTATATCAGACACTACAAAACAACATATAGTTAATTACTATGAGTGATGTTATTGAAATAGTGAATTATCACTTCAAAACATGCCCTTCCATTATTTCACCTAAATTTCCCTAGTGGAATTGCATATGAAATGTCAAGTTCAATGAGCCAAGAAGAGTTGTTTGAAAAATTGGGGACACTCTCTCCCACCAAAAGTAAATTTTCAATGATATAATCACAATAATGGAGAGCTCTAGGGAAAATTCAAAAATGTCTATCGAGTCAAATACTTAGCCATATAAACCTAAAAATTAGGTTTGACTCCTATGAAAATTTGTTCACACCTCACAACTCTACAACTTAAAAAACACATATCTAAAATCTTACCATTATCCATATCGTTGACAAGTTTTTACCTTTTTTTAAGATTTCATATATTTGTAGCCTTGCATTATTTACTCTAGGGATTTTAAAATGTATGTGGTTTGCCCTAAACAACCAAAGTGCGCACCTTCCAATAGTATCAAAATATATTGTTTTAATATTATAAGTATTTATGATGACCGAAAAATTTATTTTCATATTTAATTATAAAATTAAAGATTTAAAAATAAAGTAGTTTGAGCAGATCTACGAATATTTGAAACCTTAAGAAATTGACGATCTATATAACACATTACAAGATGTATTGTTTTTTAGACTTGAGATTTATTTTTTCTTATGTACATACATCTTGAGCTCGAGATGACGGCATTAAGAGTTTCCAACATTGAAACAACCCATTCTCATGAATTTTTGAGGTACGCTCATTGCCTAGGGCCTCGTGCTTATATAAACTTTTTCCTGTTAGAATTGTAAATTTCATGTGGACTACTTCTTTGTCTAACCGTTTGACATATTCTTTGTCCACTAGAATCTGGCGAGCTTTCCCAAACTTTTAACCAATTTAAAAAACCTAAAATTAGGAACTCCTGTATTTTTATTTTGATAAAGTTTCCAAGTTATTTATAAAAACTTTGCCAGTTGCATGCGTAAGGTAGTGACTTAAAAAGAGTTAAAGAGTTTCATAGCCAATGCCTTTCTTTCAAGTGCTTCAAATTGTAGATTACTTGAAAGTACGTGTGTGCGAGGGTGTGTATAGTACTTAAAGTGTTGGCACGAATCAAATCTTATATTCATATAGTATGTAGAATAAAAACTAAAAATAAAATGGCGCGTTAGATCTAGATCAAATAGTAAATGGTTTATTTGATCTAAATTGTATGGCTAGATGGGAGGAAGTCTAGAATTTCCATACAGTAGGAGAAGTATAGAAACATTTCCTTTTATTGTTTGCATAGAGAGAGAGGGGGGCATTTACTCAAATATAGTCATTCATTGTAGTTTAAACATATGGAACCATCTTATGTGAAATCTAACAACTTGAAAACATCATATATTTAGAAAAAAAAGTTTTTTTGAATTTTAAGCTTAGTCAATAGAATTGATACAACTGCCCAATCTCATATCCAATGATGAAGATCAATGGTGACCTTCATATACCAAATATAAACGGTCTCATTACATACTATTCATATGTCTTTTAAATAAATGAAAAGCCTCCCATGGTACCAGTATCTTATAACTGGCATTGTTGTTGGAAGTTGGGCTTTTCCTTTTATCACTGTAAAAAGAAAGTATATATTGTCTATCAAATTAATATGGAATATATATATATATTGTAATCAATATATATGAGAAGGGTAAGTACAATATCTTGTATTTATGGTAAGTTTGGGTATAGTATAGGTATCTATGATTTATTTCTATTTTTTCTCCTCTGTTATTTGTCTATAAAAGATGAATTTGTACATTTATATGATTAATGGACACTGAGTCTCTTCAGAGAAACCCGAGACTCTTCACAATCACTAGAGAAGTCAATGAACTTACAAAACTAAAATATCAAAAATAATTGGAAGTACACATTTCCTTGCTAAATCTCCTAAAGTACTGAGTAGTATAACATAGTTTTATTTGAACTATCACTCAAAGTTCAAATCAATTTTTTTTTTTTAATCAGATACTGTGAATTTCATTCACTCAAAAATAGATTACAAGGAGGTTCAAGAAGAAAATGTTGTAACCACCAATGATTGTTGGTGTACACCAACCTTTGCTAGAGCATCAGCTTCCATATTTGCCTCCCTCAAACAATGAGATACCTCAAAAGGACCACTACTTCAAATGAAAAATATTTCATAAAAATTGAAGTATAATCTCCAAGGAGGATTCATTTCTCCTTTAGCCCAAGCAATGATTTTGCTTGAATCAACTTCAATCATCTTTTCACGCTTGAGATTCTTTACTATCTTTATGCCTTCCAAAAGAGTTCTTGCTTCAACTTCATTCACTGGAGTATGTCCGCATGGCCTCGAGTAGGTGAATTTGTAGTCACTGACTTAGAACTAGAGCGGAGCAGTCCGAGTACCCTATAGAATCTGGACTTGGACCTTACCAAACTAAAAATATTACTTTTATGAGTAATGCTTCACAATAAACATTCTTTTTAGATTGATTTGAGAAATCGGAAACTTGTTTAAATTTTTTAAACCACTAAGATTTAAATTTTATATTTTTTTTTTCTAATTCGCTAGTTCACGCATCAAGTTTCCATCAAACCATTGTTATTATAAGATAAAAGTCGGCTAGTAGTATAAGAAGCATGGCAAGAAAATGTTTTACTAGTTACACCAAAGTCCTGAGGAATTTTTAAATTGTCGTCTTAATGTTTCATCTTTGGAAAAAGTTATATGAGGTTCAGGATTAAAATCATATTTCTCTCCACTATTTCAAGGTGGGCTTAACTTTGATTGTTTAGAACCTCGGCTTTATACAAAACTGGACCTTCATAGTTAGGGTTGAACATAGATTTCTCAAGACATCATCAGGATTCTGACAGTAAAGCTATATTTTGTGGCAAAACTTAGAGTACTAATACGATGTAAGGTGGACACCTTATACTAACCACATCCTTTCTTTTCCTAGGTTTTCCAGATTTGAAACTGGAAACTGTGGGCTTTTGTGATAAACTATTTAATATTTTACCTATATCTTTTGGGTGTAGTTTCCATATGGTTGCAACCTTAAACAACCAAATTAAGGTGTACCCACACACATTGCATGAGAAGCAATTTTGTTGTCGAAAATTCATAGGTTGTTGTGAAAATGTGTTTTATCTCTAATTATAAAAGTTTTATATTTAAAAAATAGTTCAAATCAAGCAGATTTATAAAATGCATGAAAATCTTGAAAATGGATGGTCCAGATAATGTGTTGCGAAAATGTACTATTTTGAAATGATCAATGAGATACATTTCAACAATCAAAACAACATTTTTTGAAGGATTTTAGTGATACACTTTAATTCTACATTTTAAAATTCAACCTTATATAAATGTTCTCCATATCTTTTAGTTTAATTTCAAAATATTCATCAAAATACACATGAATTCAAATAGTTGAAATAGTGTAAAATGTTACCTGCTAGAAAGTTAGGTATATCTTGATGAATTGGTCCCGTTTTTTTCTTTTTTCTTTTTTTATAATTTTTGTCGTACTCTTGAATTGCCATGTTCTTCTTTTAATTACGTAAAGTATTGCATAATTCAAAACGGTTTGAATGATTTAATCATCTTTGCATTATTTTAATGCCTAATTGCTATGTCGCACTAAATAAGCACCTTTGTTCTATCCTTGAACATTTCCATGCCACAAGATGTCGTCATTTCCTCACAACGAGGAGCGTCCTACGTAATGAGAACCCAAAAAAAAAGAGCAGCCTGCTTAATATTGTGACACCAAAATTTGAGAAGATTAAGTAAATGGTAGGCTTCTAGACACAAGTTGCACCTTAGAGCCCCTTCATAAAATGTTGTTTTTGCACCATAAAATTTTTGAATTGATATCTCGATTTTGATTATTATAGATTTGGAAAAAGAACATAAATTTTTAGATGTAGTTTATCTTGTAACACAACAACTGGACCATCTATTTTAGGTTTTTACACATCCGCCAAATCTTCATCATTTTTTGGAGCTTCAAATTTCATAATTAGAGGAAAAAATATAAGCAAATGTATATAATGAGATCATTTACTTTTGATACAAGAAGGTCACAATCGTGATTGATTATGAGATTTGAAATTGACTGTTTGAGGATATGTCATTATTTA